CCCCACACACGCACCAATGGAGGAAAGTCAACAATAATTAGACTCTGCACTAATGTATGTGGGAGTGGTGTTACCCTCGACTCTAACCCAAATAATTTACACAAAGAATCCGCCCAAATACCAGATGTTCGAAATGTCGGTCTCGCAAAGGTAGCCGGAATGGGCAGAATTGAATTATAGTCCACAGACATTTCTAATTTATTTGTATAAATGTAGATTTATTATGTACAGTGTATATAATGTAAGTGGTGTTGAAATATGCCTTTATATATGACAAATTGTAAATTATTTATTAACAGAGTTTAGGTATTTAATTTCATCTCAAATAATATTGTACGACAGTATTAAAGAATACTTCAATAGTTTAAAATTTCTCTAACTATTTTAACCGCTGGAATGGATTCCATAATCAGCACATCACAACTGTGAGAAATAATTTGTTGGAAATTGGAATGTAAAACGGCAGGTAAGAATTTTACTTTTATTCTCAAAAAAATTTAATAGTTACAACAATATTAATGCCACTTCTAATACACAACGATTTTATTAATATACAATATTAATATTTAATATAAATAATATAAACGTTTAATTTAGAGGTATTTTACTTGGAGCGTTCCAAAAGGACGAGCAATTCACAATAACGAGTTTGTGGAAACAGGTCAACGGGTAGAGCTTTAATAATTTGAAACGGATCTCCTTTCGTGCGTTTTGAGGTTGGACGACACAATCTGAAATTGTAAGTAGATCATTGCACTTTTAATTAATAGTTCATTCTAATTTCATTAACTAATTAATCATGTAGTTCTAATAAATTGTTCATTCTACTTTCATTAACTAATTAATCATGTAGTTCTAATAAATTGTTCATTCTAATTTTATTAGCTAATTAATCATGTATTCCTAATTTATAGTTCATTCTAATTTGATTAACTAATTAATCATGTAGTTCTAAGTAGTAATTATCTCGGTACTTACGCTATAAAATCCTTTATAACAGAACTGGGACTACATGAGACGTAGAGTAATTTCTGAATCTTGGAACAACGTCGAATTGCTTGAAGAACTTTCGCATCTGTGAACAAATCATTATACAATGTATAGAACTGTGCCATAAAAGATACAACGTATGGTAGGTATATTTATTATATAGTAGAGAGTGAGATACTGAAAAATACACAGCGAGATATTTTCCATATCTTCACTAGTGAAGATATCGATCACGTGACTTTTTCCAATTTGCTTTTGAGCGTGAAAGTTCACAATTTTTTCTTGGGACTATATAATAGACAGAACATGCTATATGATGTCCCAACAAGACTAATACAGGACATATCTCGTAGAAACAAGATGCAGATACGTACGACAGCCAGCTCTGGGTGGATCAAGAATTGCAATCACTTGAGATTCTTCTTCATCTAACGCCATTGTTGTCTTGACGATCACGTCCTCCGCTTTACCACAGTGATACTCGACATTGCTGAGACCTGGAAAAGAAGCATTGAAACTCTCTGAGATTTAAGGTAGTTTATATTTCAACTTCTTTTACACTGGCTACCTCTATCAGTTTTGGATCGCCGGGGCAAATCTTCCCCATGACATTATTTTTAAGCTAGACCCAATTAGACCTTAACTAGACTGCATGTGGAGATACTGTAAGGGGTCCTCAATTTCAAAAATGCTCTGACCAATTTAAAGAGCCTACTTAATTGTACGCTCTCGCTCTCAAGTTGGGGCCGTATTAAGGTGGGGGCCCAGGGTAATTTGCCACCCCCTCTCGGCCCTGACTGTAGTTTTTTGTGTAGAGTACATGTTGTAATGTCCTACGTACCATTAGATTCAGCGTTGAATTTTGCATCTTCAACGGCCTCTTGGCATAATTCGATTCCAATAACTTTCTTTGCTTGCTATATAATGCAATATTAATATTATTATATGGCTGTTCAGGCGTTCTCGAGGAGAGTCGTACCAGGTTAATTAAAGAAAAAAGAGGGAAGCCGACAACATCACAACAACCCGATGTAATTCTTGCAACAAGCCTTGTGGTTCGAGGACAGGCCTCTACTCCCACGACATCGTTGAGTGTTGCACGGTACTCATTCGTCGACTACACGACGCGTGAATCCATCATCATTATACTGAAAGGTATACATCCCATCCAACAAGCCCGAATTGTTGAGATGATAAACAAAGGGAGATAATGAATCTTGTTATCATATGTTGAAATTGTCCAACCTTTGCCATTGATAAACCAATGGTCCCTGTGCCACAGCAAACGTCTGAAATTGAAAAAGGTAGGCATTGAATTTTACAAATGGATGCAATAGTAGATGCAATACAATGTCAATATTTTCTACTTACCTAAAATGATTGTATTTGAAGACACACTACTCCATTCCTGAATCGCTTTGTATAGAATTTCAGCTGACTTTGTGTTCACTTTTCAAGGGAGAAAACAGCAAATAAGAAAAAGATGTGGAGGCCACAAGTTGATCAGTGTCTACTGTCATGTGTTTTACCCTCAGTAAATAGTTATGTTATGTTATTGATGAACAACAGAGAACAATATCTCTATACATCAAGATTGGAAGACCACAAGTTGATCAGTGTTTTTCTATACTGTTAATTCTGTTATTTGTTTTACCCTCAGTAAATAGTTATGTTATTTGATGAACAACAGAGAACAATATCTATATACATCAAGACATGATACCTTGGAAAAACGCATGTGGAGAGATCCGGAATTTCAAGCCACATAAATTCTCGAATATATACTAAAGAATCAGAAAGGTAAATATGAGACGCCTGTTAGTTGAACGTTATCTTCAAATGACATACTCCTTTGACGTGTTGTTTCTAGACTTTCTGTAATGATTAGTGTTCAAGTGTGTGTAAATATAACGGTAAAAAATGTACCAGTTGTAAATTGTTTCTGGGGCCACAGTAGTTGTTGTATATAGTTTCCCAGCATGTATACAACTATACAATATGATGATGGCAAAGTTAATAAATAAACTGATAAATATACCTGATCACCCAAAACATGTCTTAGAATATTACCACTTGTACCATCTTTTTTCCTACATTACAGTAGAAAAAACGAGTTTATGATAAGGCTTATTTATCCATTTAATGTTGTAACTACACTAAAATTAGTTGTTATTTACTATAACTTTTTTTTTATATACGCTTAGCAATACCTGTAACTAGGTCATGCAAATAAAAGCTTTGATAATAAAATGGGCAAGTATTGGATTCCTAGCGACCTGTATCTTATTCAGTGTAGTGAAGTACAGTATTTAAATTTATTGTAACTTCCCCTATAGCATATAAGTTCAGTCACAATTTTAAGGTGTTTTTATGCTTATACCTTGCTAAGCCAATTTCAACATACATCGAAGTCAATTTTATTTTATTTTGATTTTGAAAATACTCTGTTAACTTTATAATTTCAGACTCGACATCACCCTACAGAAAAAAGATGAAGACACAACATTTATGGAAGTAATAATATCTGTATTAATCTATATAGAATTGTATTCCCTAGTGAATTGTACTTTGACAATGTTAACTGAAGCGTGTCAATGGTATGGAGTGAAGTTTATGGTATAATTTATTCAAAAGTTGGTCGCCTTCTAAACGCAGCTTCTGTTTAAAGAAGTGAAACTTTGAACTTTCAAAATGATTTAAAATCTGATTTTGAAATGGAAATACAAATAAAGGTAAGGTAAACTTTAGTTGCACTTATGGAAACTTGGTATATATATATTGTTCCATAATTTGGCAGCTCTCTAACCTGTGCTAAATGTTCTGTTTTAGGAAGATTTAACTTCGTGTCAGCATTTCGTAAGTTGTAGTCATATAAGGTCTGACAACTGAAGCACTGGGGAATATTCCAGTAAGCTCCGCAGCAAACAAAACCATGAATAATCTGGCTTTGGACGAGTCTGGCTTTGGAGTTTGGATACGGTTCTTATCGTGAAGAGGCCAAGTTCTCCAGTCAGTCAACAACACAAAGACATAGTGTAATCCGGGGTTGACAAACACGAGGGTATAGGTGATGTGCAATCACTCCCATGGGATTCAAAGGAGAAAGAGATTTTCGCCATGTTGGCTGAAATTTGCATTGCAAACAAGCAAAATCCTTTGTCAATGTCATCCAACATGGCGATGGTGAAGTAACTTCCACACCACCTATCGAAGAAATCAGTCGCCTTCAAGAGGTTTGATGCAGTTCAGAATTTATCCTGAATCAAGGAACACTGCGCCTTATATAATGTGGCGAGTACAAGTCTTTGGCTAACAACTAGCATTTGAAAGTAAGTCAAGTCGAAAAAAGTGTTGAGTATTATTTGAGTATTATTGCTAGCTAGTATTAGTATGCCTTGAATTGCGAAGTTCGAAAAACTTTTCAAAATAACACGTGCACACATTCAAGCATGTGTACAATTTTACGTAGTGTCGCAACTCGTATAGTTTGAAATATCATACTTATTATTATGTGTGCAGGTTTACGAAAATGAACGTTCGATATGCAAATCCTTGATGCGTTGGAAATGGAACAACATGGACGAAGATGTAGAAGCAATAAATGACGGTGATTTGGAGAATTTCATGAAGAAAACATGGTTATCAGGTTAGCCAACTTTTCTTTATACTTAGTATACACGTTCGGTGTCCGTTGTAGTTCCTGATCTACTGCGGTTTAGTTGCTGTTCATTTGCATTTAGTTCGGATGCAGTCAGGTTGAGATAAAGTTTCCGCAATCGCCGAGAGCTTGCAAGCAGTGCATCACTTTTATATAATTCTGTAATTTTGGTTGTTCTGTAATTATTTTCATTTATTACTGACAATTATACGTTACGTCGTGGTATTTCAACAAAAAAATCATCTTTCATTGAGTTTTGGCACCGTTTAATTGTCTTTTACTTCTTAAGAGATTGATGATGATATATATTACCTCATCCATGTCCTGGGAGGGAAATATTTGAATAATACACATTATATCTCCGTTAAGATTCATTCTCACAGTTAACTGTTTCCAAAACCTACATCAGAACATGAAACATATAAGATTTATTTTTTAGCAAAAATCTTTTTACATTCTCATTGATATTTCTATTATATTGTAAAGCATCTTCTTATTATATTGATATAAGATGATTATATTTTTAAAAATATCTTATATTCAATCCTTTATAATTTTATACACTTCCTACCCTTTATTTGTACTTGGGTCAAAGACATCCAGCTGCGAGTCTTGTATATAACTTTGAAATTCCTAGAGGAAAACCTGATTGCTTAATACCTAGTCAGGGTGTCCACCCTTTGGTGAAGGTGAAATTCAAGTACTTTGCCAGGACTTTCCAGGCCCTTTTTCAGTAAATTCAAGGACCTAGAACTGGGAAATCTTTGAAAAATGGCACGGATTTTAGACTTTATTAACCAGAAAATAATTTACTTTAATCAAAATCACTAATGTTGGCACAGCTGGAGGTTAAGGAAATTAATTCCAGGACTTTCAAGGACTTTCCAGCCCTGGAATTTTTTTTTCCAATTCAAGTACTTTCAAGGCCCGTGGACAGGGTGCCTAGTGTTAATTAGCAGTTTTATAAATCTTTAAATAACTCTCTTACTTGTGTGACGTCTTTCATAGCTTGTGGTATATGCAAACATTCACGGGGCTCAACCACAGCAGAACTTCCCTCTAAAAATGAGATATGTTGTTCATTTAGTGACATATTGTCCAACTACCATGCACCATCAGTATCCGGTACCATCTGGTACCAACAAAACAGTATCTGGCACATCCTTAGTATATATAATGTAATGATAATATTTTTTATATATATACCTTTATAAGCTGCTAATCTAAATCCAACTGATTTTCCTTAAAAAATAAAATGACAGGAACTCTCAATAAAAACATTTTGAAAATGATGTCACTTTGTAAAATGTATCTTACCAATTCCGTCCAAGCCAGGACCAATTGTAAACTCACATTTATTACGATACTCGTCACACACAGGCTAAAAATTAAACAAATTTTTATGGTATAATGCTAAGAGATAATTGGATAAACAATTAAGGAATCAGTTGTATGTTGTTTTACCGAAGGCAATAGTTTCTCCAAGGGACAACACATACCATCATGTTGGGATCTAAAAACAGATGTAATTCATGCCAAATTATATTTAATAAACTAATTCATGCCAAATTATATTTAATAAACTAATGACACAGAGGTAGTCATTGAAGGATTTCACCACTCTTTGGTTGTGACAGACATTCCAACTACTGGAGGTAAAATTTAGGGAGACTGTTGAATGAATTGAAATCTAGTTCTTCTGGAACAAAATAATAAAAAATAAGTCTTCTGAAATGGCGTTTCCTGCATTTTGGGAGTATGTTGTTATAAGTGATCTAATAAATTGCCACAAAGTAACTTCATAAAAAGGTCAAGACAAACTATTATGGTGCTAAAAACAGTATATTAAAAATGATTTTTATGATATTTCCTGAATATTCTGAGAAATCGGGAGAATTTCATAAAATTTCATCTTCCTGGGAGCAAAAATTTCCTGCAGACCAACAGAGTATTTTTGTGCTAAATCTGCATGTGCATAAACATATATAGTGTTCCAGTTGACCATAGTCCATATGGTTTTAAATGAGCTCATAGTGGGACATGGGTGTTAAGGTTTCCTTCAAATTTGCAATAGCAAATCTTCATTCAAACGAATTTCCTGCAGCTGTTTAACATTTCCTGCGAGCAGTGCTCGCCTATGTTTTCCACCCCTGTGTACATGTACCTGTTTTGTCCAATCCAGCGACCCTACAAAATAACAAACATTTTCAACATTGCTTGATATATCCCTGGTTGCTTGATGACACAAGACCATAGAAATAATAGATATTGTAAATAATACCATAAGACCATATAAATAATATCTATTACATAAGTATTTCTATGCACAAGACTTTCATACCACATCATTGTCCTTTAATTCTTTTGCTAGTTTTTTCAACACTTGACACATAGCTTCATATTTCCACTGAAATAAGAATCCGTAGTTATACATATTTTTCTTATCAAAGAGACACAGAATATAATTTTCCACCTTACCATTTGCTGCTTTTCATAAGGCACATTCCAAAAGGGTGTGACCACATCACGAATCCTGAGAAAAATTTTACATTATACTTATTAACCCATTCAGCCGCAATGTGCCCCAGTGCACCCTACTTATTGTTTTTTACTTGTCCAATGCCAGACAATCTTACTTGCCAATGGGGAAGCGCCACAACTTAATGGGTTAAATTATAAAGTCTGCATGGCACTACATAGTTTTTACATTAATCTTGAATCATCTGTGTAGGAGTACCAATAATAATATTGATAAGGATACAACTACCTGAATTTAAATACAAGGATAAACTAGACATTTTGGGCGAGAAGGCCCTTTGTCTGTAAATTAACCAGATACGATATGATACACCCGATACGATATGATACAGCAGAAGTGTAACTCGAGTCGATTCCCTTATTGTTTTACGTCCACAAAAATTTTAACTCGCTCACACTATCCTGGCTAGTACAACCGGAAGTTTTTATCAGGTTTTGGTAGGTACAAAGTGCCGGTTGTACTAGCCAGGATGGCGTGATTGATGACGAATCACATGTAAAAATGCGGACAAATTAATTTCTTCATTGAGTTACACTCCTGCTGTACCTTCTTATTCTGTGCCTTGATGCACCATTGTTATTTTAATTGCATAATGCTGGATGATTTAAAATGGGTTAAGTAATATACAAGGTAATATATAATATACAAGGTAAACTATACCTTTCAATAGGATTAGTATCCGACTGCATGGCTTCTTGTGTCTCATTTGATTGTGTTTCCTTGTTATCAACTACACAGAGGAGTAAATCAAATAAATTGTACAGTTTTATTACACTTTATTACAATGGTCTATATCTATCAACTGCAAAAACCTTTTCTCCCTCAGGTTGACCACCATCTGCTGCACGATTGTGTTTGCAAAATCTATCATAATAATTGCATATATTTACCTTGCTGTCTTTTCTGCTGAAAAGGGTCCTCTTTTGCTTTCGCCATCTACAACAAGTATTAACTATAATTAGGTAAGGTCACATCATTTTCCACAAAAACCAGAAAGAATCTGTAATTAAAGTCACCTTAGCTGTCAAGATCTTATTTCTCCATTCATAATTCTGTAATGTTTTCAATGCAAGCTGAAATGAAGGGTTTGTACAGTGGATATAAGAGATTTTGAGAGTGAATTTTGTACATTTATTAGACCTAACAAGCCTCAAAAGACAGATGATTTTACTCCTCAAGGGGAAAGTGTTCCCACTCTGTGTGTTATATATATTTCTCAAATTCAATAATTCATGAGCAATTGAAGCCAATAATAATCACCTATTTGATCACAAGATGCCATTTGGATAACCTGGTGAAACTTGATGAAAGTCACTAGTGTTTTCATCAAATATCTTAATTACGCATGCAAAATTACTTGAATAGAATTCCTAATTACGTTGTGCTTGGTTAAGAATTCTATTCAAATCAGCAAACGAAAACATTCTGTTCTGTCTCGATTCATTTGAGAAGCCATATAAACAACTTGAGCTCGTGTCTCACCGGGATATCCAAACACTCGAAAACAATGTATGGAAACACTCGCTGACTTGTTGTTCATATATTACTTACATAAGTGGAAAAGACAACAATTGAAATATTACTATGTAGCTAGTGTTGTAGACACACCCCTCTCATGATTGACATATTATAGAACAGTAGGAGACAATGAGATTGTTATTGCATACAGTGTAGATAGTACCCTGGATTCTCAGAGCCTTCGACAGTAAATAATAAATTGAAATGTTGCGAAGGCCCTGGTTCAACGGGGAGATTCTTTGATAAACTGCGTTTTAGTACAGAATAAATTCTGTTTTGTTTTTGGCGCGGTTTAATCAAAGAATTTCCCCGTTGAACCAGAGCCTTCACGACGTTTCAATTTATTATTTACTGTCGAAGGCTCTGGAATCCAGGGTATGTAGATAGTGGGAAAGTCAAGAAATATAATATACGTTCAAATTCAACATAGTGAACATACTGTACCTCTCGATCTTCATCACACCTGGAAAAAGAAAACATGTTTAACCAGATGATTTTACTCGTCAAGGGGAGAGCCAGCTTGCATCAACTTACAACAGTTAATGAACTTTAATTGCAAAAATAGGAAAGATAATTACTAACTTGAAAGTAACAAAAGCAAAATTTCTTTGAGGCACCATTCTGACTTTCTTAGGTTGAAGTTTCAACTTTACCAGAAATTTCTTCAGATGCTATATATTGATAAACAAATGTGTTAAGTATTGTGGAAGTTTTAAACCAGCCAGGTTGGGGCGACAGACGTGGAATCCAGGTCACCGGAAAGCTGGGCGAATATGTGACAGAAGTATGTAGGATAAACCAGTAGGCATATATGATATCTGGGCTGACCTGCCTAGCGTAGTTGGGATCCAGGCTTGTCTTTGTTTTGTAAATGAGGCCCTGTTAGGGGGGGTCTGAATAATCCATAATCCTAGCAAAAATTTAAAAATAATCCGTATCCCATTTCTATAAACAAAAATATCCCTTTAATAATTTAAAGAAACGTGAACATTAAAGGTGATCTACAGTCCGATCTGCGCATGTGCACAAATGAGCCCACTTTTTATTATGCAAACAGTTTAACTATGTTTTGAGTTCTTGAAAAGCCTGATTGTTGTTTCTTGATCATTTATTATACTCTAGAAGCTTGAAAATAT